CGGTCTACACTCATCTCCAGGCCAGCAGTCACTCTTTCAGGGATGAAGATGTTCACATCCTGGACAGAGAGGAACGATGGTTTGAGAGAGGAGTAAAGGAGGCCATCTTTGTGAAAAGAAATCGTCCATCGTTAAACAGGGGTGGAGGCCTCCGGGTTCAACTGTCCCCCTCTTACAATGCTGTGATTGCTAGTATCACTCAGCCCTCTGTGAACAGTAAACAGCCATCAGTGTGCTAATGACCCATTGTTAGGCTGATGGTCCTTCTTGAGCATGTGATCAGCTGGTTTTGGTTGTCAGCAGCAAAACTGGTTGATCCACTCTGAGAAGGTGCTATTTAAGAGACTGAGCTGAATACAGCTCCTCAGACTGAGGAAGTCTCTCGGATGAGAGACGAAACGTTTCTACATTTTTTTGTTGATTTGCTTTGTTTTGTTTTTTTTTGAATGTCCAGAGGACCAGATTTAACTTTTTTAGATTTTTCTACCTGGATTATTGAGCATGCATCAGGATATTATTATTATTATTACATCAACTATTTATTATAATATGCTTTGTGTAATTAATTGAAAGTTACTTACTGTTTTAAATGTTAAAATCTTCACCTTTGGAGTTTCCCAATATTCATGAATGTATTTGAAGTATTTTCTGTCCATGAGTTCTTCAAAGGATTTCTCTCTCCAGTCTTCTCCATACAGTGCTGACAACTTTTCAATATTGTCATTACGTTCATCATCATCATCATCATCATCATTATTATTCTTATCATCACTATCATCATTGTTGTCATCTTCATCCTCATCTTTTTCATCATGACTTCTTTCTTCATCAGGATTGTTCTCCAAAAAATTCAACATTGACCAGACCTCAGCTTTCCATGCCTGAAAAACATTGGTTTAGTTTTTTAATACCCTCTGCAACATATGCTTTAATTGGTGTTAAATGCAAGTAAATATTTTTATGGTTGATTTGACCTCTTTTCCAATAAACTCGATCTCTGCTTCGTAGTGTTCATTTTGCATGTTGGACTCCACTTTTGTTATGACTGAGGTGCATGCACTGACTTTTCCAGAAGGCAAAAGTTTCTTCTCACCAACGACAGCATTAATCAAAGAACTCTTTCCAGCTCCAGTTTTGCCAAAGACACCAACCAGTTCTCTCTTGTCTCTCTCCAGATCCTTGATGTTTTTCCTGTTAAGAACTTACATTCATTCTTTGACATTTTGAGCAAACATTTTTCATTGGTGAACACTTGACTAGAAAAAAGCAGAAACAGGCTTCAGTTTAGTCTAACGCAACCTATTTTCTAGATATTTCATGTTTTTTGGTCTGTGGGAGGAAACCGGAGTACCCGGAGAAAACCCACGCATGCACGGAGAGAACATGCAAACTCCACCCAGAAAGGCACCCGGCCAGGATTTGAACCGGGGTGACCAGCTCGCTATGAGTATGTACAGTATATATTTAGTTTCAGTCAAACCCATTTTTATTGTTTTTTGGTCCATAAAATATATAAAACAAGTTTTTGCTGTTTGAAGACTGAAGCTGTACCTACTTCAGGAATTGATTGAGGTCTGTATTGTTCTGTTTGTCCAGTTGAGCAAGTACACCATCCATTATCTCTTTCACACGATGCCGTATTTTTGCATCTGTCCGCAAAAAAATGAATAAATAAATAAAATTAAACCACTTTAGCAAGAAACATCTTAGAATATAGGCAACTGTATTAAGTATTTGCTCATTCATTTGGCCTTTCACAAAAGAAGTTCAAATGTTATTTTTTGCAAATCCAACATGCATACTGTTTACTACGATCCTAGCAAGCCATGTACCAAAATGTTTTGGTGGTTTGTCGCCAATGTTGAAATTTATGAATTTCTATAGTAATGATACGCTGTGATAATGATCTGTATGTCCCCACTTGGATTGAAATACAAAAAAAAAAAAAAGTTCTCGTAATAATAAATACCCTTTAATTCAGCCCTGCAATTCCGTTTAGCTGGTGTTTGCTGCTTGCTTGACTCTCCATGAAGATCCCGTTTTCTTTTTCCTTGTTACATTTTCAAAGCAATACAAAGGTTATGTCACTTAGGTCTCTCTCTCATGGTTTCATCAAAGGAAAACATCATTTAAAATAAACATTAAAAACTGTATTTCTCACCTGCATCACTGGTGGATGGCTGTACCTGTGAATAAAAATAAACAGTGGATTCACATTATTTTGCCATTTATAACCTTTATAAATGTGATTGCATACACTATTATTTAAAGTTTACTCATGGTAATTATACACTTATACTCTTACAATCAAAGATTAGTTTAAAAAGAATCTTGAAAATGGCACAACAATGACCTGTCCAAAAAACAACAACTTTTATCATTATAGTTTACTCTTTTCACTTAACGGCAATGCAGTATAACCATTCAAACGACTGCCTCGGGGCACTGCCTCAAAACGAACACGTATGAAGAATAAGCAAGTTCTCTGATTAAATGACTGTGAATATAAAGATTTTCATTACCTCAGTCAAACCAGTTGCTTCTTCTTGCTCCAGTTGACACTGTAGATAAAATACTCTTTAGCCCATCTAAACTAGTAATTTAATCATTCTTCTTAGTTCACAATTAGTGTGAAAGTATCTGAAAACTTTGGTTTTGTTCTTTCCACTGAAAAGTACCATACTTTAATGTAATCCCAAAATATCAACAAATTCAAACCAGTTTAGTGGACTTGTTTATTGTCAGTGTCAATTTGTTTTATCTGTATGCACCATCATAACTTTAATAATTGTTTTACTGTAAAATATTTATCTGTATAAATTAAATGTCAATGTTAAGTGTCAGTGTCATGCCTAATAAACGACTAAAAATCATATTATATACCTTGAACTCTTTGAACTTCCTCCTGAATATAATCCTGGATTTCACTTTTGGAATCAGTTGATCAATGTCTGGCTTCTCGAGACTTTTAAACATTTCCTCATCAATGGCTTCTTCTGTAACAAAAATCAAACAAATGTTCATTAATTAAATTAAATTTATTAAGGTATAGTTTTAAAACTACAAAAAAAAAAAAAATACAGCATCAGCTTCTGAGAAATGCAAGAACAAAGAGCACAAAATCAGTCTATATGCTGATGATGTGTTGCTCTTCTTCCAGCATTCACAAACCTCCCTCTCTCAGGTTATTGGATTGATAAACTCTTTTTCAAGGGTTTCAGATTACTCTATAAACTGAGCATGCATGTTAGTGGGGCAGACATTTGTTTCCTGTATTGCTAAACACATAACGTTTACTTTTTTTATATATATATACAGTATTTACCATTGAAACAAAAGGATTTGTTCTTCACAATTTCTTTTGCTGCTTATTGGTGCACAAAGTTGCCACAATTTTTCTTTATTTCTCTCTCACAGGTCAAGGTTTTGTCTTGTGGAAACAAAGTTTTAGTGTTTAAAGTGTTTTAATCTCTCATAGGGTTTTAATAGTTTTGTTAGTTTAAATAGTTATTTTTTTGTTTGTTTTCTTATCTTTTTATACCTGACACCATCCATCCATCCATTTTCTTTACCCGCTTATTTCATTTTGGGTCACGGGGGTCGCTGGTGCCCATGTCCAGCAATCACTGTGCGAGGGGCGGGGTACACCCTGGACGGGTCGCAAGTCCATCACAGGGCTATACCTGACACGATTAGCTTAATTGAAATCAAGGCGGTCATTACAGTCGTTATCTGAAAGTGTGAAGGTAGTGTAACTTATTAAAATGAAATGGTAGAGGTGTTGCCTCTCAGTGAGAAGGTCGCTAGTTCAAATCTTGACCTGGGACCTTTCTGGGTGGAGTTTGCATGTTCTCTCTGTGCATGGGTGGGTTTTCTCTGGGTACTCCGGTTTCCTCCCACACACCAAAAACATGCATGTTACGCTGACTGGTAACTCTAAATTGTCCCTAGGTGTGAGTGAGAGAGTGAATGATTGTTTGTCTCATTTGTCTCAATGTGTCTCTGTGATGGACTTGTGACAGGTCCAGTGTGTAGACCTCCTCTCACACAGTGATTGCTGGACATGGACACCAGCGACCCCAAAAGGAAGAAGCGAGTAAAATAATGGATGGGTGGATGGATGTTCCTGGTGACTTTTTAGATTTTCTTCCTCACCTTAACATTATTAAAAAGGACCTTTCATTTAATTTTTCACTTTAGAATTTTTCATCTGTACATTTTGATGTAGTAAATAGTAATATTTAATTTTTGAAGTACAGTATATAACCATCAAATGATTTTGGTGAGCTTTGTCATCAATATGAGTAGAAAAGCACAGAGGAAACAAAGGTAAGTTGATGTGATGTGTTTTTATAATCCAACTTTTTGTAATGAATTTTTAGTTTGTTTTCTTTGCAAAATCTGATATTTAATCACTGACATCAGAACTTTTACTGAAATACAGGTGGTCACACATGATAGTTGTGATCAGGAAGCAAAGCCAAAGTGCAACTTATAAAAAATGGACTGAATATTTAAACCAAACTTTTTCAGGTGACATATTAGATTAACTGGTTATTATTCCTCCCCTTTCTGTAAGTTCCCGTATGGTCACACTTCCAGATGATGGCTGTCATATTGTGTGACAAACCACTTTTCTTTAGATCCAGCTAATAGGTTATTGTTATTTTTTTAAGCGGGGCTGCATTGCACTTCCCTTTATGGACTGGCTTTGTCTGTACATAATTAAATTTAATAAAGGCTGAACAACGATCTGAGCAGATACTAGTTACGTCAAAATTAAGTGATGTTTAGGGTCTTTTATAGCTCCATAGCGCAGTTTGTTTCATGTGGAAAATAGAAAGAAAGTAAAAAAAAAAGTGGTTTGTAAAATTACAAAGCTCTTGAAAATTTGTTAAAGTGGGTTCATAGTGGTGTGGTGAAAACTTTGACATTAAATAGAAAGAGAAGTTACCAAGTTTTTTGTAAGCTAGGTAATGTATGTTAAACGACAATGTGTGAATTTTGGAGTAAAATGACAAAACGATTGGTAGCCAACTTGGACCTAAAGTGTTATGAATTAGTATATTATGAATTAGTATGTTATGAATTAGTATGTTGCTCCTCTTAGCTTGTTTAATGTATCTCCATCAAACTTGGTCAGAAAACACTAAATGTTTAAATAATTCTGAAAGAGATTTTTACTACATGATACTTTAATTTTAAATAATGTAATGAACTCGATTCTGATTTGACAGCAAAGTTGGGGTTTATTGTAAAAAACACTGAACCTCTGAACAGCACAAACGCTGAATGCAGAACCCCTCATGGGATGTTATTTATGTTTTTATTTATATCTTCCATGTGTGTCAGAGGACTTGCACAAGCACGCACATAAGCTGTTTTGGCAAAAAGTATCTGGCTTTTTCTCTGCTGCTACAGACAAGACTGGTCTTGCGCCCACACATTATGATGCCTGGTTCACTTCTTGTAAGATAATCACATTCGTAACGCAAGTCCGCTTGACCAAAACAGATTCCTCTGCAATATTCCCAATCTGGCCACACATATGTATATTGAGGAGCCTTCTAATTTAATGAGTGACACACAGATTTCATAAAACGCTTCAATCCTACAGTACTTTACAAAGCAATTGAGTTTGTGTCACTATTTTTGTCAGGTTTTATAAAGATAAGCATACAATATTTAGTACATTTTGAGTGTAAACTACAAAATGTCAATGCTAAACTATTTAGATTCCCATTTTTGAGGATTTGCTGTAATTTGACAACTTGCCTGATTCACATTTTGCGTGCAAAGCGTTCTGCTGACACAGTATTGCATAACTTCTGGGAAAGTCCAACCTCAAAGATGCAAGCCACTCAACTATGGTAATTTTACGTGTTTAAGTGACACAGTCTTACAGAGCTGCATTTAACAACTAAATGTACAATCTTTGACATTAATTACTACTAATTTGTAACATTGAAACACACAAGACCAGCAGCAATGAATTTATCTGGTTTGATCTTTCAGTGTCTTGCCCAGGGACACTTCAACATGTGACTGCTGGTGGAATCGAACCCCCAACTCTCTCATTGGGGGACGACTGCTCTAGCCACCCAGCCCCAGATGACCCAGTACAAAGTACAAAAGAACATAGTACTTGCGTTAAACAACAAAACGTTTTAATACGTCACCTTGAAAACTTTTTATGCATTCACTCAGACCCCACTCATTTAGTTTGCCACGAACAAACTCATCCATGTTTAAGAACGCAAACTGAAAGAGAAATTGTGAACTTTGGATAAAATATTTCAGATGTGATCAGTTACATACGCATGCACAGATGCACAATGTAGTCAGAATAATGTTTTTTAAACTCAGCCAAAAACTTATAAACCTCCCTTTTACCTGAAAGAAACCCAAAGATAGTAGAGTCAGTAGGTGGAGAAAATCCAGCAGGAGGGCAAAAAGAAGCAGATAAAATATCCCTAATGTTCAAAGGAGCAGAAACGCAGCAGGGTGAGGCATTTCCGAGAAAGAGGGAAGAGGCTGAAATGGCGGCAGAATAGAAAGTTAACAGTTAACGTTAACCCTTGACTACCCCACAAAGACAAAGTTTATGAACACTCTTACTTTTTCATTTCTTACTTCCTTGGGTGACTGATGACAACAATCAATATTTTTTTCTATAACATACCCATTCCAACACTTTAATGTCCATTTTGTGAAAATTGCTAAAAAGATGAAATTATAATTAACAACTTCTATCAGAACTAGTAGTGTAAGTGTCACCACAATGATTGATTTATGTTTTAAACGGGTTCATATTTGTTTTCAGTAGTTAGAATATTTTGTTTTTAGTTTGTTTAGTTCACACTGTGAAATATGTTTTATTTTGTATAAGATGCATTTATTCTGTCATGAAGGACTATTTTTTGGTTGTACTGTTATCGCGAGATTTGTGTGAACGGAAGAGAGTGGCGAGATCTTTTGTGCTCGACACACACACATTTACCTGAAGCTACATACAGTTACCTGAGGACACCCATCCATCCATCCATCCATCCATCCATCCATCCATCCATCCATCCATCCATCCATCCATCCAACCA